ACTGTTATAAAAAACGAAATACACAATAAGAACCCCAAAGATAATATTGAATACATTAAAACTAATAACACTATTCTTACAAAACCAGAAGTAATAGCTTCCGCCTTTAATAGGCTCTATGTAAATAGTAACCCAACGCAAAACTGTAACACCAAATGCTTTAATAAAAATCTAATTGCTAATTCAATGTACCTCTCGCCAATGTACGAAAGTGAGGTAAGAAAAATATATTATCATTAAACAATACTACTTTCTGGGTTACGATGAGCTCACACAAAAATTATTAAGATATGTGTTAATGAAATAAGCGGGGTATTGACATATCTTATCAACCTATCCTTTTCACAGGGTGTGTTTCCTAATGCCTTAAAAATATCCCTTGTAAAGCCGATTTTCAAAAAAGGTGATAAAAGTAATATGGACAATTATCGTCCCATAACATTAATACCAATATTTTCAAAAGTATATGAAAAATGCATGTACCAAAGATTAATTACTTACTGTGAAAAATACAATATTTTAAATAAGCAACAATTTGGTTTTCAAAAACTAAAATCAACTACCTTAGCCATTTTTACTCTTTTAAAAACAGTACTGACGAGTATTAATAAAAATCACCTTACAACAGGCTTATTTTTTGATTTGACAAAGGCTTTTGACCTAGTTTCACATGATATATTATTGAAAAAGCTAGAGTCCGTCGGAATTAGAGGATTGTCACTTCAGTGGCTATCATCATACTTAACTGATAGACAGCAGAGTGTAGTTATCTCCAAGCTTAATGAAAAGGGTGTTATGACATTTTACTCGTCTGAATATAAAAATGTAAAATGTGGCGTACCCCAAGGTAGTATATTGGGCCCTATTCTATTTATTACTTACATAAATGACATATTTGACATAACCAATCATAAATGTATTCTTTTTGCTGATGACATATCTATTATTATTACTAGTGACAAAAAATTGAAAACCATTACTGATCATGAAGCGGATATAAATAAAACAATTGACAATTTAATTAGCTATTTAAATAATAATAATTTAACTATTAATCTCAATAAATCTGTATATATACAATTCAATCAATCTTATAATCCGAAATTTAATTTTAAAATGAACGTATCCAAACTTACCCAAGTGACACAAACTAAGTTCTTAGGAATAATTGTAGACCAACATCTAGATTGGAAAGCTCAGGTCGACCATGTGTGCAATAAAATTAATAAATTCGCGTACGCCCTTAGACAAATTAAGAGGTCACTAGCATAAAAACGGCTGTGATGTCTTATCAGGCATATGTTGAGTCCTCTTTACGGTATGGTCTGATTTTTTGGGGAAATAGTACCGACCAAGGTAGAGCGTTTGTTGCCCAAAAAAAGTGTATACGAGCTATTCAGGGGATCCCATCGGATGAATCATGTCAACCCATCTTTAAAAAACTTGGTCTGCTACCATTGCCATCATTGTATCTGTATGAAGTGTCTATGTTTGTACGAAAACATATAGATCTATTTAAAACAGTAGAAGAAGTAAGCTCACGCAGTCGGCGTGATCAGCAACAGCACAGACTTGTACTGGAAGAGATTCCTAGGATAGTAAAATACAATAAGAGCTGTCCAGCTATGTGTATTTGTGTATTCAATAAACTACCAAATATCTTGAAAACTGCGAATTGTAGACTTTTTAAGATTGAATTGTATAATTTGTTGACGCAATATAATTTCTATAGTATTAGGCAATATTTGGAACATAGACCTTAGTTTTTCCTATTTGTAAGATTTTATAGTGTTTGACTAGACACTTACAAGTTTGCATGCTTTAATTGTAAGCAAAACATGCTGGACTTTACATTTATTTTAACAACTTTGTATACCGTGTTTTTCGCAAATAAATAAATTATTATTATTATGTATGTCTTTACCATTCACGGGACCACAGGGTCCCGGTCATTTGGGAGGCGTACGAGGGGCCGAAGCCAACTGCGCAGAGGCCCTTTAGACAACTATAATATAAATGTAATGAACACACAAACCGGCGACTATCCCTGTATGCACTATGGAAATGCACCCAAGGACAGTCTCCGGTTAGTGTAAAACTATTGAGGATAATGGAAAAAAAAGATAGGGCTATGGATGGGTTGCTGTGGACTGGAAAATTGGGAACTATGGATGACTATGGCACCTGCCGAAACAATGTAATTATTACACGTAAAAATGGCAGGCGGAGACTCGCCAACTCACCGACCGGGCCCCGGGAATGGCTGCTAGATATAGCAACAGAGGGGCAACGAGAATGTGAGTGGCTGAAGGGTTAAGAAACTACCACCGCTTTCTACTCAGATCATCTGCTCCAGCCGAAGCCTCCTGCATCCCTGGCCCACTCGCGACTTACGAATAGTTTCTTACCCTCCGAGCAGGATCACTGCTCTCGCGACTCCACTCTGGACGGCCAATGAAGGCAAGCCAAAGGTGGGAGACCTGTTCCTTGTCATCGTTCACTCCAGCCAGCCAATTAAGGCAAGCCGGAGAAGAAGGAACGGTGACTTCTCCCTGGAGCACTCGGGATGATGGTAGCCCGCGGGATCGCTAATGCCCGTCACCTCGCCTCAAGGTGCCCTGCGGGCTTATTATTATTATTATTAGTAATAAAAACTAAAATAATGTTAAAATTAACTATTACTAAATTAATAATATAATATACAACTTAAGATTAAAATTCTGCCTCGTTGGCCGAGTGGTTGCAAGTGCGACTGCCGGGCAAGGGGTCTCGGGTTCGATTCCCGAGTCGGGCAAAGTATTACTGGGTTTTTTCAAAATTTTCAGTAGTAGCACGGAGTCTGGAATTGTGCCCGGTATATGGCAATAGGCTCACCCCCTATTACATGGGACTAATAACATAAATAGTGAAAAGTGGGTGTTAAATTGTACAGTGGTATAATGTGCAACTCTGCCTACCCCTTCGGGGATAAAAGGCGTGATGTTATGTAAGATTAAAATTATATAAAACAAAAACAAAAACAACTATTTACATAAAGCATCGAAAAATTCGTCCGCATTGACGTCAGTGGGGAAAGTACCCAGAAGGCTGGCAGCATTGCCACGTTGTATGGCCATGCTTAACCTCTGACCGAGAAAAAGACCAGCCCTCTGGTCACGAGATGTGTCAACCAGGCATTTTGAAATGTTTTTGAATGATTTAAGCGCACTCGGACCCCACGGACCTAGCGTCTCAACCCCAAACGGCTCAAAGATATAACTACCAGCAAGACTAATATTTAGACTGAGCAGTGAACAGCATCCGTACTCTTCTCGCAGATATTGCAAGAACTAATTAAAGGACCACACATCACACTCTGTGCTTCTTCTGTAATACTTTGCCCGACTTGGGAATCGAACCCGAGACCCCTTGCCCAGCAGTCGCTCTTGCGACCACTCGGCCAACGAGGCAGTTCCACGTAAGGAGTTTGTCATGTGTCGACACATGACACAGTCATGTCAAATGTCCTCACGCACATAGACTATAGTCAGAATTTTAATTCGATTCCAGATCTGACATTACCTACTGTCATTTTGTGAAATAATGATACCACATAATTATAATAGTGTAGTGATGAAAACAAAAATCGATAAACAATCAGTGAGTGTAATTTATAATAAATGTTAAAGAAAGTGACAGCGATAGCGATAGCGATGACGGCGATAATTTATAAAATAAATTATTACTATAATACATCTATCTGTTTTAATTGTCATGTTCCTTCAAGATTACATTTATTCATTTATTTCACACACAATTATAAAAGAAAAGTCTCAGATCGTTAATTATTCGTCAAAACTAAATTATCGAATCAGAAATATTTAATTTCCTGATATACATAGTATACGAGAGTAAAATTATAAACGAGAAGAATCGATACGGAAATATTCCATTTCTATATCGAATAATTTCGCAACGTCACTATTTAGTACTTGTCATAACGTTGCAACACTGAAATTGTCAAATCTGGAATCGAATTAAAATTACGAGTATAGACTAGACATCTAGACCGGGCGCTAGGTGGAGTTGAGTATGTAAACTGTGAGGACCGCATTGGTGTACGGGTTTGAACACAGAAAAGCATGGAGATTATGATTGTAAATTTTTTTTATGGCATAAGCCGGTAAACGAGCAGACGGATCACCTGATATAAGCAATCGGCGTCGCCCATCGACACCTAGAATACCAGAGGCGTTAAAAGTGCGTTACCGGCCTTTTGGGGATTAGGAGTTGGGAGGATTGGGAAGATTGGGGAAGGGGACGGTAATTGGGCCTCCGGTAACCTCACTTACACGACGAAACACAAGGCAAGCGTTACTTCACGTCGGTTTTTTGTGAGGCCGTGGTATCACTCCGGTCGAGCCGGCCCATTCGTGCCGAAGCATGGCTCTCCCACCTTATGTTGCCAGGAGTCGTAATGGTCCAATTTTTTTACACCCCTCTCCCCTAGACTTGTGAAAAATGAACAGAACACATGCTTTGGTATCATTTTAACGATTGTTACAGTTAAGTAAAAAAAGAACAAGAAAATTAAAAATAAAAGCAATAATTACTGTTAAAAAAATTTATTCAATCAAAAAATCAAATTTAAAATATTAAAATAATCAATAATTTTTATCCTGACAATCATTATTTATGCATAACCAATCCCAATGTCAATGCAATTTCAATCCTATATTTTCAATAATTATTCAATGTCCAAACTATAAAATAGCATTCAGAGTACGGAATATAAAGCCAAACTCAGTACCATTTAGTTCATTCGATTTCCACGCAATACGGATGCAATGGGCGCTAGTGTTGCAACTCCAGAGTACGTTTACAATACCCACTAACTCTAACTGTCGATCGATCGGAATTGGATTGAAGAGGAAGCCCAGGTGAGCCGTTTGGTCCACCTGAGGTATATTTTTGCCGCCGTCATGGTATAAAATAAAAAAAACACATATTGCATTTAACACTCATTTTTTATTCGGGAACAAATCACCAGCTCGTCGTGCACCAACGACAAAACCCTCCCACGTCTCTCGGCAAACCTGTTCAATGTACTTAGGCTCCAAATGAAACCCTTCATAACCCTCAGCCAGAGCCGGTAACTCATATGCGTACGATAAAGGCACCCCAATAGAATGAGCATAATCTGACGCTGCTCCAGCGGAGAAAGACATAATCAGACCAGTATTGCCAACTATATATCTTGGGAAGTATGGAAGAGCTTTGCTCTCGATAGCAGTAGCCATGGCTATCCCAACAGTGTGAAGGCCAAGGGCATTATGAGATAAAGATCCATCATGGCCCCATGGGTACATGATCATACTTCCAAAGCTATGCAGATTGATGTACAAAGCTACCCTAGCCAAGTGTTCGTGTAAAATGTCCCTGATGACTCTGGTTTCTGGTTCAGAGAAGCCATGTCTTCCTGGGTAGGTCTCTCCGCATGGACTCCAGTCAGTTCCGACTGTGTTGAATACGAAATCAAAGTTCCTGTTCGCGTCTACTCCTCGGCAGATGAGGCTGAGCGGGTGAGTGTCGAATGAGCGGGTTTTGCGCCAGAAGCGATCCTGGAATGAAGAATTTATTGATTTAAAAATAACTTCAGGTAAGAATTTGATTATGATGATGGTGTGAACGAGTAAGTACTTTGACCCTAGAGAGCTTTACGGGTTAGCGGGGCTCCGGCTCGAAGTGCAGGAGTAGGAACAGGGTAGTTTTTAGTCAGTAAGAGTCTGACACTCCCACCGCCTGACACAGGTTTCTCTTATAACACTTATTCTTTGGATTTTTTTTATATATATAACATCACGCCTTTTATCCTCGAAGCGGTAGGCAGAGTGTGCACTTAATGCCACTGTACAATGTAACACCCACATTTCACTATTTATGTTACGAGTCCCATGTAATAGGGGGTGAGCCTATTACCATATACCGGGCACAATTCCAAACTCACACACAGCTTTTATCTATGTGTTGTTTTCTAAAAAATAGGTGTCTGATATTTTTTCATTACCTAACTGACGGACTAATTAGATTTTTAATTTTCATACACTGTCATCATCCTTATAGAATAAGGTAAAAAAACTACTAACCTTATCAAAAGTATATTTATATCCATCAGGGTTGACGACAGGCACGAGGATCCAGTCGAACCTCTCCAGCAGATCAGGTTCAGTGACATTTTCCACCAGCTTATGTATGGCCCAGGTGACGGTAGGCGGTGTGATCCACTCCCTAGCGTGAATAGTTCCGTCTATAACAATCACTGGTTTGGTCTCATCTTCGAAGTTCGTTGTGGAAATCTTGATGTATTTTATTGGGTGATTGTTAAAAGAATGTCCTCCGGTAACTACTTTTGCTACATCTGGGTATGTTTCTGCTATGTAGTCGAGGTAATCTTCTATCTGTGGAATATTATTTAGTAGGTCAGATTTAAATAAAAAACTGACGGTAGCATGGAATAACTTTTTTACGACTCTATCCTTTTTGTTGATGTCGTTAGAACCGACTGAAAAACTACACATTTATTATAACAAAGACGGAACTACAGCGTTCTTAGTAGAGATGCACCGAATATTCGGTTACTATCCGGTTTCGGGCTTATGTGGCCGTTATTTACTATCCGACCGAATACCGTATTAAGGGGTGAGCCTATTGCCATATACCGGGTACAATTCCAGATTCCGTGCTACTACTGACACTATTTTTAAAATTACCCAGTATTTATTTCTTTGCCCGACCCGGGAATCGAACCCGAGACCCCATGCCCAGCAGTTTCTTAATATTTAATGAAAATTCAAGTTATACTCCATTAACAATATAATGCTCGTAAATCATATATGACAAATCGCTACTGATGATGATTGACCGTATTAGTATAGAGAGAAGGAAAATGATCATACCACTTGAAGTTCCTGATAGTTATCGTAAGGCATCCGGCTGCCATGCCTCGACGTAGTGGACCTTTTCTGTGCTTCTATGAGCTGGTCATCGTAGTCCAGTTTCCTGGAAATAAGTTACTTTTAAGAGCCGTGTATAAGAGAGTAAATGAGAACAAGAAGTCAAACTTAAGCCCTTACTTTCAATTAATGTACGGTCAAAGGTCAAAAGTCCACTGCCACCGTAAGACTACTATCGGTTGCGCTGCAGCGCTTATACACACATGCACACGCATATTTGTATCCGTGTGCGTACGCGTGCGTGTGTTTATACGTACACAAAGCACCGCTAATTAGTTAGCGGCGCTACACATCGACACAACTATCATTTACACAATATACATGTGTGGGTAATTTCATATCAATAGATATGTATAGAAACATTCGTCTATCACACACATCTTGGTATTTAAAAATCATTTTTGTGTCGGTATACGCAATAATTTAGTAAATAAGTTTAAATAAAAACGAGGGTAAAGATAAAATTACTCATAACAAACTTTGAATAAATCGAAATCAAAAATAATGAACGATCGAGCTATACAATACCCATATAAATATAGTGCTTTCTCATTGTAATTTTATGTTACTGAATGTTATACAATATTTCGAGAATCTCATCTACAGCGCGCTTGGCGCAATGGTTATCGCCTCCAATTGTCAAGTAAAGTGCCGCCGGATCGATTCCAACATTCACATGTTGTTTTAGAATTAATTTATCAAATATTTGAAATTTGAAATTAGAAACAATTAAATCTTTTCTTTTTTTTTCCTTTCCTATTGTTCTAAATCTTATGTTAATGTTAATAGTAAATACTTTAGATTTATTTATACCTATAATATCTTTTATTTATATTTTAGTTCTAGTTATTTATTATTTAGAATAATCTCATTTGCTTCATGCATTTCAACCAACTTAAATAAGATAAAAACAGTAAAAAAGTAATTAACTGTGATTTCTTAATGGTTCGATACCTGAGTATATTTGCAATGTTTGTGGCGACCATAGAAATCTCGAGTCATTTTATTTTACACGCTTATGAAGTAACTACCGACTATTTAAAACATGTTTTTCAAATCACCCGACTTACAAAATAATTGCGTTCTTAGTTGTCAATTTATGAGGATTTCATAGTTTATTGCTACACTACTTATATTCGTGTGCAAAGTTATTTTTATTTTTACAAGATGTTCCAACACCTATCAACATTTAAAAAGGCTGAAACCATTGTTTTGCATGAGCAAAACATAACTAACAATAACTGAAATAGCAAGGCGTTTAATGATATCGGTGAGTAAATAAGATACTACGTTGATATTCTAAATAATATTTATTTCATTTTGTAACTCGACACACCTATCAATTTTTGCACTAGAATAAAATAATTATTGCAACTTATTATGAAGTTCAATATTATAAAGATATATTAATAATTTATTATTAATTGTATTGTAACTTGACTTGTTTTTGTTAGGAGTGTTTCTTTAAAACATATCTGGTTAGGGATTTTTATTCCTTACGCCACTACTTAATTATAAATTATTATTCTAACATTGTGTTTACTTATATTTATTATTATTTTTAAGTAACTTTAATTCCTGTAAAGTATTTCCTGGTATTTTAAATACTTATTTGTTTGGTATCAACAGAGGAGATCCATGCAGTTATGGGTGCACAGATATGCGGAGACCGGTGACGTTAAACATCGTCGACGTGGGCCTAAACCAAAGGCAAATTCATCGGCTCGGCACTACGACATCGTAGCCAGGCACATGGCTGATCCGTTCCTGCCAACCCGCACTACAGCGACAGCACTGAATGTTTTAATACAAACTGTACGGAGACACCTGCATTCTGGTTTAAGGTGCAGGAAGCCAGAGAAGAAAATATTGTTATCTGTGGTTCACCAGCAAAAGCGCTAAGAATTTGCTAGGACTTTATTAATTTTGATTGGGCGAACAGTGTAATCATATTGAGCGACGAAAAGACTTTCAAGTCGGATAAGGATGGGCGTAAAATATTGTGAAGAAAAGATGGAGAAAGGTATACGAATTGCAACCTTCTCCTTGCCTTGTAGGATCAGTGATTGTATTGATTTCGGAATCAATTATTGAGCCTGTCAAACTCTGCCTTTATTAAAATTAACATAAAATAATGTTTAATTTTTTTAAGAATATTAAAATGCTGTCTAGAACATACGGTGAAGTGATGTTATTGTTTTGTGGTTAGAAATTGTCATAATTTCTTTCTATTCAACATGTTTATTCACTTCACTTTAATTTTTCATTAACAAATTTATTTAACTGCTTTCGAACTTGATTGACATATTATATTTACGCCCATCTTCAATTAATTTAAAGTTTCCCTGATTCTAAAGGTCATGAAAGTTAAAATCGTTCCATAGCATTCGTCACATTCTTTTTACTATCATACAGCCCACTGAATATTGAACCTTATAACAACCGTCGTAAAATAGATAATTAATGGAAGTTCAAACGACAAAAAGTCGCCCATTTCAAGAAATATTATGTTGACAGTGTAATTTTTTACATGTTTTACTTGTTTATTACTGTTGTATATTTGTTTATTACCTACTTAATAAAAAATGTTGCTGCCATCGTATTACCGCTGTACCGCATGATATTTCCCGATTCGACTATGAGGTTTATTGTCATATCTATTAATTATGATTTAAAGAACTTTAAACTTAACATGTGGTATATAATTAATTATTAGATATAAATATTGAATATAAAACAACATATTTGTATAATAAATAAATTAATTGTAATAAAAAATAGTATTGTTTTATTTACCAACTCATTTGCTTCTTTTATAGCCTGATATTTATATTTTATGACAAAAAACAAAAAGAAAAATAAGAAAAATAACAAGGTAAAATAAAATTAACTTTTAGCTGGAATAGAACCCACATCATTGATCCTTGAAAGACGATAAAAGCGTGCTCATTAACCAATCGACCACGAGCACTACGATAATGACAGTGAAAATGTCGGGTCATATCAATGATTGTAAATAGTTTTAACCTTACCTATGCATTAAATTATAAAAATACGTATACCGACACAAGAATGAAAATACCAATGTGAACGTGGTGGACGAATATTTTTATATACAGTTATATGAAATTACGCACACATGTACACTGTGTAAATGACAGTTGTGTCGATGTGTAGCGCTGCAACTAATTAGCGGTGCTTTGTGTACGCACATCACTCACGGTGGACTTTTGACCTTTGTCTGTACATGCAGGTATTATCGAAACCCCAAAATAGAAGTGTCCGTCAGTATTGAGTTAGGTTATACCAAATAGGTTATTCCATACTGCCTCGTTGGCCGTGTGGTCGCAAGTGCGACTGCCGGGCAAGTGGTCTCGGGTTCGATTCCCGGGTCGGGCAAAGTATTACTGGGTTTTAAAAAAAATCTCAGTAGTAGCACGGAGTTTGGAATTATGCCCGGTATATGGCAATAGGCTCACCCCCTATTAAATGGGACTCATAACATAAATAGTCCGTACTAGCGCTAGAAACTCCATCTGTAGTCTGAGTGTAGTCTCTTGTAAAGACAGAGTAAGAAAGATTTTTCGAAAATAAGAAATAATTCAGTATCAGCGTAAATATGAGCCTCTAACAAGGCTTAAAACTAATCAAGTTCCTCGTCAAACAGTTACGTGTTTAAGAAGAAAAACATAATACCGCCGAAAAACTTAATAGTTCTTAGTAATTATTTAACTTTATATCATAAATTTGTAACTACCATCAAAGTAATTGTAAATCACACTTACTCCTTCACATCATCAGCGTGGATCCTATACCCAATGCCTTCAGCTTCCAACTCCTTGACAAAGGCAGCCTGATGCTGTGGCTTCACCAGCACCACACCCTCGCGACCTTCAGCTGGGTGACTCAAGAAGTCCAGCTCATACTTCTGCATCATAGGGCCTAAGGCCTTGGACTGGTCGCCGGTGGACACTCCGATGTAGTAGGATTTCCATCTGCAAAAACAATAATAATAAATAAATAAATAAAATGTTTATTTGGTGTAAAAAGCCAGATTACAAAATAAATCTTAATATCTAAACAAAGTCTAAAAATATATGAAACCCTGAACTAGGTCCATGTCCAAGCCTGTGTTTCAGGTTAAAAATGTACTGAAATATTTAAAATACAATAATATTGCTTATAAAACTAAAAAATTTATGTCTAAATTAAAGTAAGCTAGTCTCTAAGTATAACAGGTGCGCGTGCAATTGACAATTGTAGATTTACATAAGAAAAAGCTAATGGTTCGGCTCGACCGGAGTGATACCACGGCCTCACAAAAAATCGGCGTTGTTTTTACGGGAGAGTATGACCTGCCGTTAAATAGTACACTGCACATCACAAAATGTAAAAATGTTTCTTTGGGATGTTTGTACGTCAATCACACTGCAACTACTGAACGGATGTTTATGAAATTTAGTTTACATGGTATGGGCTGACTTCGGTGATAGGATACGTTTTAACCCGATTAAATGCTCCCATGGGATAAAACAGAAATCATATTCTACGCGGACGAAGCCGTTCGCAACAGCTAATGAAGATATGAAGACCACCACAGATGGGGCCCCATAGGGCCGATGCCGATTCGGAGTCGCGGAGAACCTAACGGCTAACCAGGGCTCCGGCTCGATGTGCAGGAGAAGGAACGGGGTGGTTTTTAGTCAGTAAGAGTCTGACACTCCCTCACCCAGGCGGGAGCAGTCATTCGATGATTTTCCCCCTTAAAAAATTAAGATATGAATACATAGAAACTAGTTATACTGACCCTATATACTTCTCGTGTTTGGCAAAAGCCATTGAAAGTATACCAACTATCACAAACCACTTCATATTTACTGATTAACATTGAATACATCGGCACAGTTAGTTTTATACGAAACATTATCGAGATAACACTGACTTATCTAATAGATTGATTATTTGACTTAAATAAATCTGATTGAAAACATAGCAGTAATGTGGAAAATTTCAATAAATTTCTACCTAACTTCACGGTTTATTTTTAAGGGGAAAAAATCATCGAATGACTCCTCCCGCCTGAGTGAGGCCGGAGGGAGTGTCAGATTCCTACTGACTACAAACCACCCCGTTCCTACTCCGCACTTTGAGCCGGAGCCCCGGTAACCTTTTACGTTCTCCACGGCTCCGTATCGACATCAGCCCTATTAGGCCCCATCCGTGGTGGTCTAACGGCCACCATGGATCTCGAGTCTGGTTCTGCTCGGGCGACGAACTACCCGTGTTCGCCGTAGGCACCTGCTTATGATGGCTGGAGATCATCTCGCGACCTAACTGCTCCGGAATGTGGCGCACGTTTGATTCCTACACAGATAAAAATGTCCTAACGTACACGCCAAGCATAAACATTTCGCATGTTCTCAGGACCTTATTTTCCGAACTTTGAGAACATCACGCCTTGTTTGTGACGTGTTCCCTTGACGTGATGTGAAACAGTTCTCACTTCACTGTTCACGTCAACACCGTCATCATCATCGTCATGGTCACTTGTGTGAGAGTCATGCTTCGGCACGAATAGGCCGGCTCCACCGGAGTGACACCACGGCCGAACACCGACGTAAACCAAAACACTTGCTTTGTGTTTCATCGTGTGAATGAGGCTACCGGAGGTCCAATTTCCTCCCCCTACTCTCTTCAATCTCCCCAATAATTCTTTACCGGAGGAGTTCGGAGTCGCGGAGAACCTAACGGGTTACCGGGGCTTCGGCTCGAAGTGCAGGAGAAGGAACGGGGTGGTTTTTAGTCAGAAAGAGTCTGACACTCCCTCCCGCCTCACCAAAGCGGGAGAAGTCATTCGATGATATTCCCCCCTTAAAAAAAACACTTCAATCAACACAAAAAGTCGATCGGGTGACTTAAGTATAACGTAAAAGTATAACAGAAATTTAATTTTTCATGGAAAAAACCGGTAAACGAGCAGACGAATCACGTGATGGTAAGCATTCGACGTCAGCCATGGACACTCGCAACATCAGAGGTGTTACAAGTGCGTTACCGGCCTTTTAGGGATTAGGAATTTAAGAATTATTGGGGAGATTGAGGAGGGTAGGGGGAGGAAATTGGACCTCCGGTAGCCTCATTCACACGATGAAACACAACGCAAGTGTTGTTTCACGTCAGTTTTCTGCTCGGCCGTGGTATCACTCCGGTCAAGCCGGCCCATTCGTGCCAGCATGGTTCTCCCACACTTAGTACATGGACGCGAACAGGCGAACTAACCCTACTTAGATTATTATTCCCTCCAGATTATAAGTAATAAGGAAAAGTAGATATTAAGAGTTACCTAATCAATTAATAAGCAACTGTTTTATTTTTATCATTACATGATTCATGTCATTCGATGTCCTTATCGACAAATGTTTACATTTGTTTGCAATCTCATCACAACGATTTAAATCTAAATGATCTGATGCGAAAGTGGTTCCGTATTTTTTTTAGTTCCTCCCCAAACCGCTGCAACTTCAGTACACCAGGATCTAGAGTAGATACAATCATGCAAGTATCGAAAAATTTAAATCCGGCGCGGCTCAAGAACATGGATATTATATGAGACAAGTCCGCCACAACCTCCCCAATCTGCTGTAACTCCTATGCACCAGGACCTACAGTAGATATAACCATGAAAACACCGGAACACTGAAGTCCGCCGGCGTCTGTCTTGGATCCCGCAACGAAATAAATCAGAAGATTATAATTTGAGAAAACCAAACGTGATTCTGTTATTACCGACTTCAAAAAAAGAAGGAGGTACTATGTTCGGCTGATTGTTTTTTTTTTGTTTTTGTTTGTTCGCGCAGTACTCCGCCATTTGTGAACCGATTTCAAAAATTCTGTTTTGTTTGAAAGGGTCTTCCGAGATGGTCCCATTTCCATGAAGTCAGGATCTGATGATGGGATCCTAGGGGAACTTTCAAAAATTCTATGGGGGGAGTAATGCGTCTATTATGTTTTTCAATTACGATTTTTTTAAGGTTTTTTATGGTAGCTATATGGCAGCAAAAATATCAGATCGCCTGATGGTAAGCAACCGTCGTCACTCGTGGACATCCTCAAGACTAGAGAAACTCCTCTAAAACAAAAAATCCAAAGAAAAGGGAGGCAATAGGCTCACCCCCTATTACATTGGACACAACATAAATAGTGAAAAGTGGGTGTTACATTGTACAGTGGCTTTAAGTGCCGAAATGTGCACTTCTACCTACCCCTTTATGTTATGGAAGGGAGGAATAGGCCTCCAGTAACATCACTCATACAAAATATATAGTTAATGAAAAAATTAACAAATACACTAAGTGCCCCAACAAGTTTTAAAATTTTCCTTCGGTTTCCCTAGGATCCTGACCTGGTGGAAATGGGACCACTTCGAGAGTATAAACTTTAAACCAACGAGGTCTTTCTCCAGCTGGTGACCGTGGCTCAGGTTGCCCTTGCGGAATTATCACCCCGGCAGGCCTCGACCTACCACTATATTGCGGCAGGTCTCATCAAGCAGCCCTCAGAAGCTGCGATTCCCTTTCTTGACCGCGCGTGGAACACAACGCTAACGCTTACTCCCGCCTATACAGCAGACAACTAACTCCCCTAATCAGTGGGCCACAAGCCTCTCCTATGGAGGTCGCTACCACCTCGCGGCGTTGACGGCCGGCGCGTCTACGGTGGGAAGGGAGAGAGCTGGACGCCTCCCTCTCCCTTTCAGCCTCTTTTGCCAACATGACACGTTCATAGAAGGAATCGACTCCATCCCATGCACTCTCACAGTCAACCATAGCTCGGACTACGGTCGGCAATGAGAGATCATTCCCTCCAAACCATACATATATTATTAGAACCCTATTTGAGTTAATTATCCGCATTATCGGCACATGTATACCTATGTCTTTGTACATATATATTTTTTACATGTAATCATGGTTCATTAATTTTCACTGTAATCCAAATATTTATCTATTAATTGGATTTACCTACCAGACTATGATCAACGAATTACTTCATATTTTTCCTGTTTTAAACATTTTTACAATGGAGTACAATTACATTTATGACCAGACCATTTACGACTCTTTCCGTGGGTGCCGTGAGATTTTGTCATTCTCGTGTTATTTCTTTTTTTTAACTAAAACGTTGCCCCACACTAGTTCTCTATCTCCTGTGTCGTGGGTGCGTTTACAAACATACAATTTCACATACAGATCACACCTCAACCCGAAACAACAATCTATGGATCACACAAAGAGTTGTTCCGTGCGGGAATAAAACCACCGACATGTTCCACGGCAGCCAGTTGCCCTGCCACCGCGCCAACCGTTCAGTTAAATGTAGAGGAGATCCTTAGACCTGACAGCATAGTACAAGTTACTCTAACGATTAAATTAACCTATCGTGTGTCTAAACGTGGATCCAAGCGAGACACAATGTATTTTTTTTATGGCATTAGCCGGTAAACAAGCAGACGGATCACCTGATGGTAAGCAATCGGCACCGCCCATGGACACCTGGAACACCAGAGGCGTTACAAGCGCGTTACCGGCCTTTTGGGGATTAGGAGTTTGAGGATCGTTGGGGATTCAGGGATTGGGGAAGGGGAGGGTAATTGGGCCTCCGGTAACCTCACTCACACGACGAAACACAACGCAAGCGTTGCTTTACGCCGGTTTTCTGTGAGGCCGTGGTATCACTCCGGTCGAGCCGGCCCATTCGTGCCGAAGCATGGCTCTCCCACACTTATTATACACTTATATTCTATTGTGTCTCATATACCATTCACGCGGTTAAACGTCTGGCCACCAAGTACATAAAATTTACGAATTAATTTATGCCAAACAGGCATAAAATGGAAATATTTTTCTCTGTCAAGCAAGCGAGACTAAAGAGCATATGTTTGTCTCCTTTTCGCTCTTGAGATTAAATCTTCTATCTCACTTGCACTTCGCTTGTATAGTCCGAAAGCCAGTGACAGATTTTTGCAACCGATTTCCGCAAGACAGAAAATACTGCATTATAGTAATCAAATCAGATAATTGGCAATGCGTCACCGGTTCATGGTAGATGGGTTACACTAGCATAAAGTACCTACCTATTATGGCTTCGTATTGTTTTATTTTAATTAAACTTTTATATATACTCCTATAGCCAATTTTATGAAATGTAACTAGATAGTAGATATGAAGTAAGTAGGTTGTTCCTTGTCTATGGTCCACAGATAATATTAGATATTAAGTACTAGCTTTTACCCGCGGCTTCGCTCGTGTCACAAAAGGATAAAAAGTAGCATAAGTGACATAAACCAATACACACAGCGCCATCTATACCAATACCTACTTTGGTTTTCCTTCGGGAATATCAAATGTTTCCGGGATAAAAAGTACCCTTTTGTTTAATTCAGACTTCTAACTTTACGTCTGCAAAAATTCAATGCAATCGGTTTAGTAGTTACGGCGTGAAGTCGGAACAAACAAACAAACTCACTTTCCGATTTATAATATAAGTAAGGATTCTATGATTTCAGTAAAATAATAAGTCTGTGGACCATGGACAAGACTTCATTTTTCATTTTTTAGCTTTTATTTAAATTTTTAAATTATGTTATACGTGTGTTCTGCGCAAAAATAAATGGTTTTTATTTATTTCTTCTTTCTTAGATGTTCCACTCACACGCACGAAGCGCTTCGCATTAAGCTTCCTTGTGCGTACTGCTAAGAAGTGGAATTCATTGCAGAGTCTTTTTTTTAAAGGGGTGATAATCATCCAATGTCTTCTCCCGCCTGGGTGAGGCGGGAGGGAGTGTCAGACTCTTACTGACTAAAAACCACCCCGTTCCTAACGGCAACCCGTTAAATCTTCCGCGGCTCTAGATATCGGCATCAGCCCTGTTGGGCCCCATCAGTGATGGTCTGTCAAAATCTGTCGGCTGGCTTACGGACTATTTCATCTTAGTGTGTACTTCTAACATATTTATTTTAGTGTGCGTACGATTTTCATGACTTATCCACGTTTTATTACTAGTTACGTCCATTTATATGTATGTGTGTGTAAAAATAATCTTCTAATTAAATACTTTGAAATACAACGCTCGTTGTTTCGCGTCGGTTTTCTGTGAGGCCGTGGTATCACTCCGGTCGAGCCAGCCCATTCGTGCCGAAGCATGGCTCTCCCACACTTAAAAATTATCGTTATTAAAGTAGATTTTAATAAGTAAATTAATTATTATTGTATGAAAAACTGTGCTATTTTGATATTTGTTTTCGTAGGTATAATTAAGTCAACTGAAATTATAAATGTTTAATAGCAAATATGAAGTGGTTTGTGTTGGTCTGTATACTTTCAGTGAATTTTGCCAAACACGAGCATTATATAGGGTCAGTATTACTGTTTAATTCCTATGTATTTACGTCCTTATGTAGTGTATAGCAGAATTATGTACTCCAATCTGTTAATTTTTGTCATTGGGTTTTCGATTTTATTAATCAAATCGACACGATATTTTTTAACATAACATCAAACTTTATGGAATTTATACATTTTACCCCCTGATGTACCCTACCTACTCTATTTGTTCTGGGTATGGTAGGGTACAACGAGCTAAGGGTGCGGATGCGGAGGGACTTTGCGCTGGTAGCGTATGTGGTGAAGCAGCTGCGCGGCGTAGCGCATAATACGTAGGTATTATAATATAATACCTACATATATAAATCCTAACTATATTATAGTTAGTATTTATATCATATTATATGTCTGCATATTTAGGATATATATTTATTACCTTAACTTCGTTATCTCCTTATACTTTCTTTTCTATAATTTTGCACCTACCGCTTTAACTTTCTGCACCACCCAATGGTCGACTGTTAGAAAATGCCTACGGCATTAAGTCCGCCAATATCACTATATGTGCAATAAAGTTTAATAAATAAAATAAAAAAGAAAAAACACGGCGTAACATCGTAGTTTCTCATCAGATTTCTGTGAGGCCGTGGTAACACTCCGTTCGACCCAAACCATGCATCTCTTTCCAAGCGAAAGAAGTCTACAATTGTCCATTTTTTGCAGATGGAAATCCTACTACATCGCAGTGTCCACCGGCGACCAGTCCAAGGCCTTAGTGCCTATGGTGCAGAAGTATGAGCTGGACTTCTTGAGCCACCCATCTAAGGGTCGCGAGGGTGTGGTGCTGGTGAAGCCACAGTATCAGGCTGCCTTTGTAAAGGAGTTGGAAGCTGAAGGCATTGTGTATAGGATCCACGTTGACGATGTGAAGAAGTAAATATGAATAATTATTTTATTTATTTGTTTACCATCTTGGTAGGAGCATCTTCTTGTCGTGGAGAACCTAACGGGTTACCGGGGCTCCGGTTCGACGTACAGGAGAAGGAATGGTGTGGTTTTTAGTCAGTAAGAGTCTGACACTCCCTGCCTCACCCGGGCGGGAGCAGTCATTCGATGATTTTCCCTCCCTTAAAAAAAAGGAGCGTCTTCATTGTGAGGGGGGGGGGAGGAATCATTCAATGACTTCTCTCGCCTTAAGTAAGGCGAGTGTGTCAGACTCTTCCGCATTTTGAGCCGGAGCCCCGGTAACCCCTTAAGTCCTCCGCGGCTCCGTATTGGCATCAGCCCTACTAGGCCCCATCTGTGGTGGTCTGATGGCTATTTTAGACGCACGCTGAAAGCTACGCGACGTACGTTCTGGTCTAGTTCTTGTCGGGTGGTGAGATGGAAGGAACGTCTAGAAGTTAAAATTATGGCTATTCTGTAAAATACCTCAAGCTATTTCCATTTTGGCTGCCTCGTTGACCGAGTGGTCGTAAGTGCGACTGCCGGGCACGGGGTCTCGGGTTCGATTCCCGGTTGGACAAAGTATAACTGGGTTTTAAAAAAAATTCTCAGTAGTAGCACGAAGTCTGGAAATGTGCCCGGTATATGGCAATAGGCTCACCCCCTATTACATGGGACTCGTAACATAAATAGTGAAAAGCGGGTGTTACATTGTACAGTGGCATAATGTGCACCTCCACCACCACACTTGCCTTCGGCGATAAAAGGCGTGGTGTTATGTTATGTTATTTCCATTTTGACAGAAAGCTGGACTATGATGATCAGCTCATAGAAGTAAAGAAAAAATCCACAATGTCGAGGAAAAGAAGTAGAAAGCTGCCTTTCGACAACTATCAGGATATCCAAGTGGTAAGATCTTGAGCAGCATTTCGCGACCCGCGACGCGGCGACTGTCGCGCTCATAGATGAGTATAAGTACTGACGGTCGCGCTGCTACTGGCTACTCGAGTCTGCGGGCCCAGCGCGCCCTCTGCCGTGATTCCCGCGCACTTTCTTCTATACGTGGTATCGGCGACAGCGGCGCGCGTGTCGCGCGCGCGCGTCATGAATATGAGCCTCTAGCATGGCTTGAAACTAGTCGAGTTCCTCGTCAAATAATTACGTGAGTAAGCCGAAAACATAATAATTTATTTAGTATGTCTCACGAAAATTATAATACAAATATGGTAAGATCTTTTTCGATAGGTCGGCGTTTGTCGCTTTGTAGTAAGCGATGATGTGGCCTACGATAGAGCTCGGGCCTTGAAGGCACCCAGGTTATAACCTTCTGGAAAACATATTATCAGATTTATAAGATAAACTAGCTACTTCCGCGCGGTTACACACGCTGCTCAGCTCCTATTGGTCGTAGCGTGATGTTTTATAGCCTATAGCCATCCTTGATAAATGCGCTATCCAACACAAAAATAATTATTCAAATCAGACTTGTAGTTACGGAGATTAGCGCGTTCAAACAAACAAACTCTTCCGCTTTATATAATAGTATAAGATAAGATAAACTCCGGCAAGTTCACTCATACGACGAAATAGAAAGAAGAAAGAAAGAAAGAAAAAACATTTATTTAGCACCAGGCACGATGCAGCATAAATAAAAAATAAAAAAAGACAATCAAGGTGTGACAGTGGAAGTAATAAAAATATAAGAGTTGAAAAATTGAAACAAAAGAATTAGAAAAGAGACGCTGACAACATGCCTATGCTTAAAGGGTCACCCACTCAGTATAAGCCAGGCATACAGGTTACCCAGCACTGATTTTCAGTGGGCACCCATGCATCCCTGGTTTTCTATGTCGCCGTGGTGTCACTCCGGTCGAGCCGGTCCATTCGTGCTGAAGCATGGCTCTCCCAAAAAACATACTAATATTCTTTTTTCAGATCGATAATTACTTAGATAACATAGCAAAAAAATACCCAAAAGTTGCAAAAGTAGTTACTGGAGGAACTACTTTCAAAGACCTACCGATAAAATACATCAAGATTTCCACAACGAACTTTGAAGATGAGACCAAACCAGTGATTGTTATAGACGGAACTATTCACGCTAGGGAGTGGATCACACCGCCCACTGTCACCTGGGCCATACATAAGCTGGTGGAAAATGTCACTGAACCTGATCTGCTGAAAAGGTTCGACTGGATCCTCGTACCTGTCGTCAACCCTGATGGATACAAGTATTCCTATCATATTGTGAGTACTTTAAAAATTACACATAACATTACGCCTTTTATCCCCGAAGGGGGCTTTTTTTAAGCGAGGAAAATCATCGAATGACTGCTCCCGCCTGGGTGAGGCAGGAGGGAGTGTCAGACTCTTACTGACTAAAAACCACCCCGTTCCTTCTCCTGCACGTCGAGCCGGAGCCCCGGTAACCTGTTAGGTTCTCCGCGAAGGTGTAAGTGGTGCACATTGCAGCACTTAATGCCACTGTACAATGTAACACCCACTTTTCTCTATTCATGTTATGAGACCCATGTAAAAAGAGATGAGCCTATTGCCATATACCAGACACAATTCCAGACTCCGTGCTGCTACTGAGATTTTATAAACCCAGTAATAGTTTGCCCGACCCGAGACCCCTTGCCTGGGTCTTGGCACTTGCGACCACTTGGCCAACGAGCCAATAAATTAATTAATTTTAAAACCTTTTCAGAAGCAAAGTTTTATCCAGCTTGCCATTTATGATCATGCAAACTAAGTACCTACATACAAAACTCATATTCATATAATAACAATAGCCTTTATTCAGATAAGGAAAAGAAAACAGAACGATTATTTGACAAACTGGACTCATTTTAATGTCTCAGCTGAATTGATGGCATTGACATCTTCATCAGTTTGCCCAGCTTTGGCAAAGGCCTCCTCCATTTATTTCCATTCTGCTCGATTTAGAGCTTTTTTTGTCCATGTTTTGAGCTGTCGCCTTTATTTCGTCTTCCCCCCTTCTAATATGTCGGCCATGTTTTCTTTTCCTGTCTCTGGGATACCAATACACTATGTTTCGGTTCCACTTTGCGATGCCTCTAATGACATATTCATATATCTTTATTTGCAATCCATATTGTTTCTTAAGATGTTACATTGACTTAAAGCTAGAACTAGCACGGAGTCTGGAATTGTGCCCGGTATATGGCAATAGGCTCACCCCCTATTACATGGGACTCGTAACATAAATAGAGAAAAGTGAGTGTTACATTGTAGAGTGGCATAATGTACACCTCTGCCTACCCCTTCGGAGATAAAAAGCGTGATGTTATTTCTATATATAAGTCGGTAAACGAGCAGACGGATCACCTGATGTTAAGCAATCGGCGTCGTTCATTGACACCTGGAACACCAAAGGCGTTGCCGGCCTTTTATTCAATAATCAGTTCCATTTTTCTTCCCCCCAGGAGCGTTTTTGGCGTAAAACCCGCTCTTACGACAAAAATCCCGTCAGTTTCGTCTGCCGAGGAGTAGACGCGAATCGGAACTTTGACATCAAATTCAACACAGATAGATATCATTCGGACTACTGCAGAGAAACCTTCCAAGGGACCCATGCCTTCTCTGAACCAGAATCCAGAGTCATCAGGGATATTTTACAACAGAACTTGGGTCGGATAGCCTTGTATATCAGCCTTCATAGTTATGGAAGCATGATCATGTATCCATGGGGTCATGATGGATCTCTATCTCATAATACTCCAGCTCTTCAAGCTGTTGGGTCAGCCATGGCTTCTGCTATTCAGAATAAAGCTCTTCCTGACTTTCCAAGGTACCAAACTGGGAATACTGGTCAACTTGTGTATTTGTCAACTGGTACATCGACAGACTATGCTCATTCTATTGGTGTACCGTTAGCCTATGGCTTTGAGTTACCTGGTCTAGCTGACGGTAATGCAGGGTTTAATCTGGAACCGAAGTATATTAAACAGGTTTGCCAAGAGACGTGGGCGGGTTTTGTCGTGGGCGCCAGACTAGCTGGTGATTTGTTTAAGATTAAAATTTGAGTTTTATAAAGTAAAATGTGTTTATTTTCTTTATCGACTTCCCAAAAAGCAACGGCAGCTGTAGTCAAATGCCATTTAGCGCTTGTCTACATGTAGAATAGAAAACCAAATTATATGGAATTGACGTAAATTCTGGCACTTGTCAGTGTCATCCCCATACATTTAGTTTTCTACTCTCTCTGTAGACAAGCGCTGAAGTGGCGTTTGGCTAAAGGCACAGGTTCTTAATTCAACCTTTTCACTGATTACGCCGTGAACAATTATTTGCGTGATTCTTTTTTTGGGGCTCGTACACATATCTACGATGCGACATCGCATCGCAAAAATATGCGAGCTCCCTCTACGCATCGCAACAACTTGCGTATTGATTCGCATCGGGCACCAAAATCTTATCTTCCCAAAATCTTCTTTGTTTCTTTTTCCTGTATCTCCTAAGCAATAATAGAAGTGCACACTTCTTTTTACGATCCATGTCACGACCTAGTTTTCAATTTCAAATACGTTTAGTACGGTTGACGGTCGTCGAAGGAATGGTCACCCTGGGAGACGCCTTGTCGCACGAAATCGCATCACAGCAATTCGCAACATATTTTTTTGAGTTGCGAATTCGCATCGCATCGCAGTTTTGTGTACGAGCCCTTTGTTCGACGCAAAAAAGTTAGTAAATAGTTCTAGAAACCTCACTGACACGGTGAAGGTTTTGAAAGACAACGCAAGCGTTATTTCACGCTTGTATTGAGTGAGGTCGTGGTATCACTCCGGTCGAGTCCACCCTTTCGTGCCGAAGCATGGCTCATCCACGCTTAAACTATCCGGACGAGGTCGTCCATCTTCAATCCAATCAGCGCCGCTCAAATATACATACTTTATATGGTTAGCGCCATCTATTATTGAGTAGTGGAACTATTTCTCAGTTTTACAGACTTTTAACTTGTGAGATTTTACAAACTAGAGACCTATATTTTATTCATTTGGAGGATCTAACCTCTGAAATCATACTTTCTAGTGTAATCTTCTTATCGAGCACAGAGTAAATGAAGTAGAATTATTTATTGCTGCTTCTAATATAAGACACTAGATGGCGCTGTATCTTTAATTTCTATGAAATTAATAAATTGTTTAATTTCCTTTTTAATTCAGTAAGAGAGGTAATTGTATAAGGTACCATATGGTCTTCTATGCATTTTTATTTAAGTAATTTTATTTTCATTTTTAAGTTGTAAATAAATCATTTAGTTTACCTATATCGCTTATGGACATTATAACACCAACATAACATAACATCACGCCATTTTATCCCCGAAGGGGTAGGCAGAGGTGTACATTACGCCACTGTACAATGTAACACCCACTTTACATTATTCATGTTACGAGTCCCATGTAATAGGGGGTGAGCCTATTGCCATATACCGGGCACAATTCCAGACTCCGTGCTACTACTGAGAATTTTTTAAAAACCCAGTAATACTTTGCCCGACCCGGGAGTCGCACTTGCGACCACTGGGCCAGCGAAGCAGTATAAGGATTTTCTTTTGGGGTAAAAAATAACACATTTTTTATACAAAAAAAAAAACAATTGTAATACTATCTATAATTAAGTATTCACAATTTTATAAAAATCTAAATCGTAACTAAAAATAATTAACTTAAGTTACTTAACATACAACTAATAATACTAATTTCTTTTCTTTTTACTTGATTTTTCTGTATATACTTTTTTACCCGTAACTTTGTTTATGACTTTCTTAGCAGCAAACACGAGCAGAGCGAGAATGCTCGCGAGCGTGACGAGCAGGACAAGCACGACATCTAACATCCAGCGCTCGTACCATCTGTATTGTAGAGACGTCGAGCGTAGATGAAGAGCTCCTGTAAAGAGACGAGCATTTTTATTAATACATCACATAGCTAGCATCTATAAGTGGGTTTTTATATGAAATACGCCTGTAAACGAGCAGATGGATCACCAGGTTGCTTAATCTTGAAACCAATCTCAATGTCGATGCAATTTCAATCCAATAAAATCTCAATAATCAAACAATGTCAAAACTATACAACCACAATCGTAGCTGTTAGGTGCAATAGCATTCAGAGTACGGAATATAAAGCAATCGGCGTCGCCTATGGACATCCGAAACTCCAGAGGTGTTACAAGTGCGTTACCGGCCTTTTAGGGATTAGGAACACATAACATAACATCACGCCTTTTATCCCCGAAGGGGTAGGCAGAGGTGCACATTATGCTACTGTACAATGTAACACCCACTTTTCACTATTTATGTTACGAGTCCCATGTTATAGGGGGTGAGCCTATTGCCATATACCGGGCACAATTCCAGACTCCGTGCTACTACTGAGAATTTTTTAAAAACCCAGTAATACTTTGCCCGACCCGGGAATCGAACCCGAGACCCCTTGCCCGGCAGTCGCACTTGCGACCACTCGGCCAACGAGGGATGGAAGGAATGTGAGGATTATTGCGGATTCGGGAGATTGGGTAATTGGGCCTCCGGTAACCTCACTCACACGACGAAACACAACGCAAGCGTTGTTTCATGTCGGTTTTCTGCTCGGTCGTGGTATCACTCCGGTCGAGCCGGCCCATTCGTGCCAAAGCATGGCTCTCTCACACTTGACTACTATAAAGCTGTATAATTTATTTGTTTGATCGTGCAATTCTCAAAAACTATCGGTACGATTTGAAATATGTATGTCACATTGTATATGCACACAAGGACGTTAAAAAAGGCGACCATAATCTCTTAAAACAACGACTGAGGCACCTGGCTGCTATATCCTTACACGCAGCTCACACACATTGACACGAAGGACATCAATCGCGTGACATGACCCGTCATTACACTTCAAACATTACGGTGTTAAAAGTACACGCACACATGAATACACCACTGACAGTTTGGTGCTTCAAACATTTGTAAGTGACATTCCGTTCGCCTGTGTTTTCAAAGTCCTTGTTTGTTTGACTCTGTCTACCCTCCGTGATAACGTACCTTTAGTCTCAATTGCCAGTTCCACATAGTGGTTGATTAGCTTCTTGGGAGTGGTGGGGCGGTTTGTAAACACCTTCGAGAGGTACTTCACACGTTTGGAGTATCTGGAACAAAAAAAAAGTCAATTACATAGGACTCATAACATATATAGTGAAAAGTGGGTGTTACATTATGCAGTATGGGGATAAAAGGCGTGATGTTATGTTGTTTTTCTATATCTATACTAATATTATAAAGAGGAAAGATTTGTACCTATTATTGTATGTTTGTAATGAATAGGCTCAAAAAGTACAGGGCCGATTTAAAAAATTCTTTCACCAATAGAATGCTACATTCTTCCAATTCGACATAGGATACATTTCATTTTGAAAAAAATTAGGGATCCTTGGTAAAATTTGAACAATGTAACCGAAGGAGTAGAAAAATGAGTCTTAAAATGTCTTTCGTCGAATGCGCTGCCGAAACTATTAGCGATAGAACAAAATAGAGATAATGTACAACAATATTGAAGAACATCATAATGTCTACAAAAAACTCCGCGGTAGCATATGTCCAACTATTGTAGTTATGTCACTACAACAATCCAAATTTCCAAAAATAAATAATTGTCGACCCCGTGCGAAGCCGGGACGGGCTGCTAGTATGTTATATTTTGACATTTTTATTTTCATTTGTCTATTTAGAAAGTTATCAATCATTAGCAATCATAAAATTACTTACTGGTCATTATTCAAGATCTCTTTCAGAGCTACTTCTAGCTCAGGCACCATGTCTGGTGAGAAGTCGACCTTCAGAGCATATCCGCTGCGCCTGGCTCTCTCTGCGTTAGCGGGCTGGTCTCCGAACACTGGAACTGCTAGCAGTGGCACTCCAGCTCGTACAGCTTCCAACGAACTGAGCTGACCTCCGTGCGTGATGAATACTTTCACGTTGGGATGAGCTGGAGACAAAATGGAAAGGAACCATCATCATGCGCCCGTAACAGGTTATGAGTCTCCTCTACGTAAGAGGGGTTTGCCATAAAAAAAACAAATTTGAAGTGTGGGAGAGCCATGCTTCGGCACTGCTGGACCGGCTCGATCGGAGTAATACCACGGCCGAGCAGAAAACCGACGTGAAACAACGCTTGAGTCGTGTTTCGTCGTGTGATTGAGGTTACCGGAGGCCCAATTATCGTCACCTTCCCCAATCTCCCCAATTCCTGAATCCACAACGATCCTCAAACTCCTAATCCCCAAAAGGCCGGTAACACACTTGTAACGCCTTGGTGTTCCAGTTGTCCATGGGCGGTTACTCCCCCCCTCCCTTTCTCAATCTCCCTAATCCCTGAATCCCCTGGAAACACTGGTTAACACTTTAAGCCATAATGCTGACACCAAGCTACTTGGGAAGATGCCAGAACAAACAAAACTATAATAATTACCAAGAATACTAGGCTGAGGCATCCAGGGTCTGACGTGGACATTAGGAGGGAGGTCCTTGAGCGGCTCCTCGAACTTCCACAGCACTGTGTAAGGGAGGGAAGCGAACAGCTTCAGTAAAGCGGCACGCGTGTGCGGCTTCAGAGCTGATGAGCGCAGAACTGAGCCCATACTGAAGTAGATCACACCTTTAGGTGATCCGTCCAGCAATTCTTGCAAGTCCTGTGATAGAAGATATTGTAGTATAGGTTCGAGACCTACCAACGGCAAGTACCAATATGACTTTTTCTGAGTTACATGTATGTACTTTCTAAGATTATTTATGTAGACATCACTGACAAACGGTGAAAGAAAACATCGCGAGGAAACCTTTTTTTTTTGATGGGGAGAAATCATCCAATGACCTCTCCCGCCCGGGTGAGGCGGGAGGGAGTGTCAGACTCTTACTGACTAAAAACCACCCCGTTCCTACTCCTGCACTTCGAGCCGGAGCCCCGGCAACCCGTTAAGTCTTCCACGGCTCATCGCGAGGAAACCTGGGCTTATAATTTCTAATTGTAAGTTTGTAATCACCAACTCGCATTGAGCAAGCGTGGTGAACAATGCTCCAATCTTCTCCGTGCGAGAAGAGGTTTAGTCAGCAGTGACCACTTAAATTTTTCTATATCTTATTGTATTGAACAGTCGAAATAATTAATTTTTGATTAAGGCAAGGAGGTAACCAATTTGGTATTTATTGAGTGACTCAATTTCCTTTCTTTTTTTTTTGTAAGTAATAATCATGTATAGTGGTAGGTTATATTTCCTAAAAAGGTATGATGGGGTTGTCATAGGGTGCCACCTGAAAACCAGCATTGGGCAGGAATGCTCAACTATATGCTGAGGTGGAGGCCCTTTTTGCATCTGCGCACTACAATATTACTATAATATTATTTATATTTTGTTTTTTTTTTGTATATTTAATTTCTCTTTACCTATATCAAAAACTTATTGTATTGTTTCGTATTGTTTTGTTATATTTTGATGATTTTTATTCTTTTACGCTTTTAAGTTTGTTATTAATATTATGTATTTATGTAAGTATCTGTATTTTTTATTTTTCATAATCTTTGTTTGTGTGCCATTTGCCGAATAAATGCTTTTTCTTTCTTTCTATATCAAAGATAAATACGCCTTAGTAGAAACAGATTTAAAGAAAATGTAGCACATGTAGGTACCAAAAATTGCCTTACCTTGGGTAGAGGTGGAATATTCTCATCCATGTGGTAACCAGCAATGCTGATAACATTGGGAGGAGTGGTGAACGCAGGAGTCAGGGACTCGTGGGAGTTCACGAAGGTGATAGATACGTTGTGGAATGCATCATCGAAGGGTGGGAGGGAGACACCTCTTGCTGCGGCTATGGGGGTGAAGATATCTTCGTATTGTTTGATGGTGGCGGCTCGACCAGTCCTGGAACATGTATGACATGATTAGAATTTAGTATAGCATAATGCAGGCCTACATCATCTTTACTTATAATAAATCTGTAGAGAGGTCAATTCTGTACATAAAATATATTTAAAAAATAACTATCAAGGGGTGATTAGGGATCGCTACTGATGCCAAAAATGCAATCAGTAAAATTTTTGTCTGTCTGTCTGTCTGTCTGTCTGTATGTTCGTTATGGAAACAATAACTACTCGATGGATTTTAACGAAATTTGGCACAATTATTTTTCATATTCTTGAGCAGGTTATAGTATACTTTTCATTACGCTACGATCAATAGAAGCAGAGCAGTGAAGGGAAATATTGGGAAAACGGGAGAAGTTACTCCAATTTTTAAGCTTCCGTCGCGTGTGCAGGCTTATAGGTTAAAGCTGCATAGAAATCATGTATGACGGAAATATTCTCCTTAAAATTATATAAAAAATATTCCTCGACAGCATATGCCTATCTTTTATGGTTGACTCACAATAACACGTGAAACTTCCGATAGCTTAGCAATTCGGTGATTTCTGATTGTATTTGTCTACTCTAACGTTTACAATACTCATTCATAGACTTTACGCTGTATCTGAAAGGCCAATGGTTGAAATTAGCTTGACTCGATATTATAAATGAAAATATGTGAGTTTATGTGTATGTATGTTACTCAGTCATATTAAACCGACTGAAGGGACCGGAATGAAATTCGGAACAGAGGTAGATTATGGTCTGAAGTGATACATAGGCATTTTACCCCTGGGATCGCGGGCGAAGCCGCTAGCAGAAGCTAGTTTTGAAAAAAGGTAGACATAGTCTCTTGAAACAACGATTGTGGCACCTCGCTACTATATTGGCTATGTGCGCGACGGTGGCGACGCGTAGCGTTTACAACATTTGCGGAAGCTGTCAACTAATAACAATGTAAACATTATAATTTTCTCTGCAAATATAAATAAAACCAAAGATTTAAATAGTATTGTTGACATTATTTAAGTGCAATTTATTCAATAGTTTTACTGTAAAATGAATATAACAATAAAAATCGGGTTTGAAACTATTACAAATAATATTAGTTTCCAACCACAAACTGGGACAAAAGGCAATAAATTATTCTTAGCCGAGCATGTAAGAAATGTGTAAGAACTGCGACGTAACGGCCAGAGCTACTTAATACGAGCCATGGTCCATTTCTTTGCTTTGATTTTGTACTGCAATCAACACATTTGACAGCTGATCATCCGCATTTGTTTCCAATTTCTGCCGTGTTGTGCGCTGCAGTCGTTATCTGTCCGCCACTACTCGCTTTGCACACAGCCAATACACTTACACGCAACACACACACATAGACACGAAGGACATCTGTCACTTTGTTCAGTATGGTAAAGTGTGTTATGTTGGTGGATTAATTAATTGTAGACGGATTTATTTTACTTGGATTTGTTACAATAATGTGCAGGGCGCACGACGTGTACACACACTATATAGACTATGACGGGTAGACAGCGGCGTTACTGACGTGTGTCATACCTTATATAACACATTATAGTGAGGGGGCCATTACTTACTAAGTAGTGATGTACATACATGTAACATCCCCTTCTTAAGTTTAAAACAATTACAATAGGACTTATTAATCTATTTCATCAATAAACCTCTTGGTTGGTCTGACAATACGACCTGACTTTGTCTTGTAAAATTCTGACTGTAGAGATCTTGAATTCTCCGACTCCTGTCTGTCACCCTCATCTCTCCCCTGCGAAGGATTGGACCGCATAGGAGGGTTATCACTGTCATTACAATATTTATGCCTTAAGTGTACGTGGTAACCCATTACACACGCACACGTTAATAACCAACAACATTTCGGTCCTTCAATCATTATGTCCGCCTTTTTTCAAAATCCTTGAAGTCAGGAGAATAACCTCATTTCTGTGCACTAGGAATTGAAAAGCTATAGTTGTCATTAACTCCACTTACCACCTGTACATAGTCATCATGGAAAATATCATGGCGTTGATTGCTCTGCTGGCAAACGTCATAGGGACCCCTGAGGGGTTAAACATCAAAGGTATGGTGGGCACGGAGCGCACCTCGTCAATCTGCGCCTCTATATCAGGGTGGAGTTGGGTGGCGGCCAGCTGGATCCAGGGTACTTGGAGCACTGCTGGAATGCTGCAAACAGATGGAGTATTGTTAATAACACATACACACGAACTATGGCTGCTGGTCGATACAATGTGCCCAGAGTCAGTAAGTATTTTGGTGATAGAACACTAAGAAAGAGAATACCGTATCTATTAAACAGTCTGCCGGCAGACATAAGGAGTGAAACAAATTCAAATAGGTTTAAACGAAAATTGAAGTCATATTATTTAGAAATGTCCTAATAATAAGTAAGTATAAGTTTCAACGCCTGTGTAACATTTAAATATAAGTACATTTAATTGTAATATCTAGCGACTCGACCCCGCAGTCAAACCATTGTAACCTGTGTGATATAAAGCTAGATAAATCCTTACTTATAATATTATAAATCGGAAAGTGAGTTTGTTTGTTTGTTCCGACTTCACGCCGTAACTACTAAACCGATTGCATTGAATTTTTGCAGACGTAAAGTTAGTAGTCTGGATTAAATGATAGGGTACTTAATATCCCGAAAAAAATTGATATTCCCGAGGGAAAACAAAAATATTGGTATAGATGGCGCTGTATGTATTGGTATATGTCACATAGGCTACTTTTATACATTTGTGACGCGAGCGAAACCGCGGGTAAAAGCTAGTAAATAATAAAATAATGGCATGGTACTTTGACATTGACTGCACGGTGGCTTTGTACTTGACTGACGCGCAACGTGTAGTTTGTACTGTAACCTCTTTTTGGAACATTAATATAACACTACGCCTTTAAACCCCGAAGGGGTAGGCAGAGGTGCACATTACATCACATAATGCCACTGTACAATGTAACACCCACTTTTCACTATTTATGTTACGAGTCCCATGTAATAGGGGGTGATTCTATTGCTATATACCGGGCACAATTCCAGAGCCCGTGCTACTACTGACAATTTTTTTTAAACTTAGTATTATTTTGCCCTACCCGGGAATCGAACCCTAAACCCTTCCCTGGTAGTCGCACTTTCGACCACTCGGCCAACGAGGCAGTCAAGAAGTAGACAGGTTGATAAGTATCAATTTTACTATTCCATTGACATAAGTATTACTCAGTTTTTAAAAAATCTCAGTAGTAGCACGGAGTCTGGAAATGTGCCTGGTATATGGCAATAGGCTCACCCCCTATTACATGGAACTTATAACATAAATAGTGAAAAGTGAGTGTTACATTGTACAGTGGCATTAAGTGCCGAAATGTGCACCTCTCACCTCACCTGACCTATGTTATGTATGTATGTACTATACTATTGACTTACCCAGCCAAGAAGTCACAGAAGAAGTTCTCAGTAACTACAGCATCAAAGTTTCCTTTAATCAGAGCTTCTTTCACTGCGGGAGTGTTCAGCATCTCCAGCGTCATGTTGGCTGCAAACTCCTTGATGAATGAGATACCAGCGTTGTTGTGACTCTGGTCAGTCATGTCGATGTCTGGAGAGAAAATAAATTTATAAAAAAATATTTAAAAAGATAAAAACAAATACTAAACTAAACGTGTATATGTCGTGGCCACATCATTCACAACGGCAAGTATTAATGAGATTTTTCCGAGTCAAATATACTTTCTAAGATTATTAGACAATGCTGAAAAACGGAGAAGAAAAACATCGTGAGGAAACCTGGGCTTATAACTTCCAATTATAAGTTTCGAATCGCCAACCCGCATTGAGCAAGCGTGGTGATTAATGCTCAAACCTTCTCCGTGTGAGAAGAAGTATTAGGTCAGTCAGTGGCCAATTATAAGGCTGTTGATGTGTGGCCCTTTTTAATGAAAATAAAATTAAGAATGTAAGCTTCAGCCAGTTATTAAGAGCTATATTTCAATGCAGGTACTTACTGGAAACATGACTTAGTACCGAGCTGATGTCGATTAATTTCAGCTTTGGGTTGTTTTTATCAGCTTTCCCTGGGAACGGAGTCACCCAGGTCACCTGGAATATGGATTAAATGCTTTTAGTTTCACAGCTTGTACAGATAGCGGGATGGATCAATGTTGACTAATCAAGCCGTAACAGTAAAGGATTTTAAAAAGCACAGCTCCAACCCAGCCATTAAGGTGTCATTTAAATATGAACTTTAAATCGTACATCTTAAGATACATTTCGTAGCGTCAATACAAAAGCCGACATCCCACTTCTAAACTTTGATTCGTTTTATCAAGTATTGTTTTATTATACGACAAAATAAAAAAATGCGTGTCAAATATTTTTTCATTACCTAACTTACGTACTAATTAGATTTTTAATTTTCATACCCTGTCATCATCCCAATTACTAATGTTATTACCAGGGGTACTCACCGTATGTCCTCCTTGCAGCAGAGCATCCACGATGCCCTTGGAGAGCTGGTTGTGGCTGTGTGAGGGCATGGGGAACATGGTGATGATGTGGTAGCCATGGCAGTGCGCCACCACACCCAGGAGTAACAGGATACTTAGCTTCATAGTTCACTGGAACAAGGGAAGAATTATTGTCTTTATTTATTTATTTATTTATCATTTCATGTACCCACACCACACAGACAATATTACTAAGGTCTTTCTGTTCGAACGAAACATTTAAGTGTGGGAGAGCCATGCTTCGACACGAATGGGCCGGCTCGACTGGAGTCATACCACGGCCTCACAGAAAACCGACGTAAAGCAACGCTTGCGTTGTGTTTCGTCGTGTAAGTGAGGTTAGCGGATGCCCAATTACCCTCCCCTTCCCTAATCTCCCCAATTCCTGAATACAAAACGATCCTCAAACTCCTAATCCCCAAAAGCCCGGTAACGCACTTGTAACGCCTCTGGTGTTCTAGGTGTCCATGGGCGACGCCGATTGCTTACCATCAGGTGATCCGACTGCTCGTTTACCAGCTTATGCCATAAAAAAACATGGGGCCGCTGGGTGCAGGTCGCTTACTACTTTACGATCTGGAAGCCATTGTAAGAAGCCTATATTCAGTAGGCACTTAGTATATGGGTGACCAGTAAATAGTCCACCATACTGTAGGTGATAGCTGGGATCAACACCTACCTAAACAACCCTATGTATGTTCAGCGAAAATGTACGGTTTCAAAATTATACCACATTAGCTTTTACCCGCGGCTTCGCTCGCGTCACAAAAAGATAAAAAGTAGCCTGTGACATATACTACCTCAGCGCCATCTATACTAATACTTTTGTTTTCCCTCGGGAATATCAAAGTTTTCCGGGATAAAAAGTACCCTATTATTTAATCTTGACTTCTAACTTTACGTCAGCAAAAATTCAAAGCAATCGGTTTAGTAATTACGGCGTGAAAGCGGAACAAACAAACAAATAAACAAACTCACTTTCCGATTTATAATATTAGTAAGGATTTTTGAAAATATCTAAATATCTCTTTGCCTACCCCTTCGGGGATGGAAGACGCGATGTTATGTTGTATATCTCTACAAAAAAATAAAAGAAAATTGATAAAAACTACCATATATCGTTTCCTAGGTCTCTAACCATTTTATTTATTTATTTATTTATTTATTCATGTACAATACACAGAAAAAAAAAATATATATATATAACAAAACAGAGGTACATAGGTACTGCATATCCCTTATGGGATTTCTTCCTGCAGCCCTGCGAGAGGAGAAATAAATAGATCATATAAGACAGTGTGTAACAACAAAAAACAAAACAAACAAACAAGAAGAAGACAGTGAAAACTTAAACTAATAATTAAAACTACTTACAGACTAACAAAAATATTACAATAAAAACATACAAAATAAATATAAATAAGTACTTATACATATACTTCCAACAAAATATAGAAATATAATAGATACCTACACATTATTATACATACTATATGTAAATAATATATAATACTATATAATAAAATACATACAATATAACACAATCTGTACTTAAGAGGAAAGGAGATAATGTTCCCTCACACATTTCTTAAAGATTGATATAGATTTAGAGTCACGTATGTTAGGCGGGAGCGCATTCCACAGCCTCACCGCATGAACCGAGAAAGAATAAGAGTAGTAGTCGGTTTTATGGGATACAATTTGGAGATGTGATTTAAGATGTGATCGGGAAAGGGAATCAGGAGGACGAGCAAAGGAAAAACGTTCACGAAGGTAAGAAGGATAAGTTGAATTAAAGAGGATATTGTAGAGAAGACATAAAATGCGAGTGTTCCTGCGAAGGCGGATTGGGAGCCACTTGAGTTTTTTACGAAATTCGGAGATGTGATCATATTTTCTTAGGCCGAAGATGAAACGAATACCGATATTTTGCAATCTCTCAAGCTTATTTAATAGCTCCTCAGTGGCATCCAAACAGCAAGCGTCTGCATAATCGATCAAAGGCTGGATCAATGACTGCACGAGGAGGATCTTTGTTTTTAATGGCAAAAGAGTCTGGAGACGCTTCAGCGAGTGGAAAGAATAGTGAACTTTTCGACTGACCTCACTCACCTGGGAACCCCACGACAGGTACGAATCAATGTGCACGCCCAAATTCTTAGCAGTGTTAGTAAATGGGATCGCAGTTCCATCCAGACGCAAAGAATTAAGGGCAGAGATGTCTAATGCATTGCGAAAGTATCTACTTCCGATAATCATGGCCTGGGATTTAAGCGGGTTAATTTGTAGGCCGAAGGATCTGGCCCACTCGGCGACCCTGTCCAAGTCACAATTCATCGCATCAATCGCAGTTTTAGCCTCCGAAGGATTGAAGTGTTGGTAAAGTTGCAAATCGTCTGCGTAAAGATGATAATTAGAAGATATGACCCTGGCAACGGTATTGATAAAAACAGAAAAAAGAATAGGAGAAAGGACGCCACCCTGGGGCACACCGGCAGCAAGGTCACACCAATCGGAAAAGTTTTCGTCCAAGCGAACCCGCTGACGGCGACCCCGAAGGTAGGAGTCGAACCAGGATAAAGAGGAAGGAGAGAGGTTGTTGGCCTTCAGCACCCCCAAAAGGATATCAAAATCCACGGAATTGAAGGCAGAACTGAAGTCCAACAATACAAGGATAGTGAGTGATTTGTTATCCATTGCCCAGCGAATGTCGTCAGTCACTTTAAGCAGAGCTGTAACAGTGCTGTGACCGGGACGGAAACCAGACTGGAAGGGAGAAATAAGGTTATTAGTCGCTAAATATGAAGAAAGTTGCTTATGGACTAGATGTTCCATAACCTTTGAAAGAAAAGGGAGAATAGAGATAGGTCTGTAATGAGACAGAGAGGAAGGATTACTGATTTTAGGCAACGGGATAATATGGGCCAACTTCCAGGAGGAGGGAAACGAGCAAGAGAATAATGAATAATTAAAAATGTGTGTAAGGATAGGGATTAAAAGATGGAGGATGGGGAAGAACATTCGAGAACATAGATTATCACTACCTACTGCAGAAGATTTAACAGCAAGCAATGACTTTTCTACGTCCTTTTCAGACACACAGCTGAGTTCGAAAGGAGAACAAGAACCATCATACGGAGCCACGGAAAACTTAACGGGTTACCGGGGCTCCGGAACGAAGTGCAGGAGAAGGAACGGGGTGGTTTTTAGTCAGTAAGAGTCTGACACTCCCTCCCGCCTCACCCAGGCTGGAGAAGTCATTGGATGATTTTTCCCCCTCAAGAAAAAAAGGTCTCTAACTATCGGTTTACCGAATTTGTGTGTCTCTTACGTCCAGTTTCTATAACCTATAACACATTTTGTATGGAGATCATGTCAAAATTTTATCTCTAGTAAGCAAATCTACAGATAGATAGGTTATAGAAACTGGACGTTAGAGATCAGGTTCATTGTCCTTTTATGAGCCGGTGGGCAAATATTAACATATTTAATAAAACTAGTTTATAATAAGAACAAGTTTAAAAACCAGTATTGTTAGACTAAAATCAAAGTGTCTATCAAGGTTTTAATAAAGGATTAAATTTTACATAAACATACATAACATAAACATTACGCCTTTTATCCCCGAAGGGGTAAGCAAAGGTGCATATTATGCCACTGTACAATGTAACACCCACTTTTCACTATTTATGTTACGAGTCCCATGTAATAGGGGGTAAGCCTATTGCCATACCGGGCACAATTCTAGACTCCGTGCTACTGCTGAGATTTTTTTTAAACCCAGTAATACTTTGCCCGACCCGGGAATCGAACCCGAGACCCCTTGCCCCGCAGTCGCACTTGCGAGTAAAATTTTATAACTATTAATATTAGGATTTATTTGTCGTCAAAAATCTGTCGTAAGTCACTATTCCACGCGAACGAGGTCGCGGACAAACGCTAGTATCTTTATTATCTTAATAGATATGCCTATAATACTACTTATTATTTATTTTATATAATTACTGCAATATTCTTATCATAATGATAAGTCGTTTTAGCTCCACGCCGTTTTATCAAGGCAAATCAAAATATACCTGTTGAATTTCTTTAATGAAATTTCAATCCTATCTTAAGGTGGTAAAGTAGGCAATTGACTAAATAGCTTTGGTATAACTTTATGAGCTGCCGTTTCGGAAATCGTATGATGAAATTGTAGTACTATGAAGTATCAGTTTTGTTTAAATCATAATTGTGAATCTTTTTTTGTTATCAGTTATTGTGGATGTTAATTTTTATGGTTTTAGGGTAATTTTATGTAGTACTAGCTACTTCCGCGCGGTATCACACGCTCTGCTCAGCTCCTATTAGTCGTAGCGTGATGTTTTATAGCCTATAGCCATCCTCGATAAATGCGCTATCCAACACAAAAAGAATTATTTAAATCAGACTCGTAGTTACGGAGATTAGCGCGTTCAAACAAACAAACAATAAAACAAACTCTTCCGCTTAATATAATAGTATAAGACTAGCTTCTGCCCGCGACTTCGTACGTGCAATCCCGTTCTCGCGTTCCCGTAGGATTTTCAGATTTTTCTGTCATAAGAACCTTCTCCTAATAATAACAAAAACACAAAAAAAAGAATTAGTGAAATCGGTCCAGCCATTCACGCGTGATGCCGTGACCAAGGGAAAAAGGGAATCATATTATTTATATATATAGACTAGCTGTTACCCGCGACTTCGTAGTATTCTCCGCGTAGAATAATATCCCTGTTTTACCCCATGGGAGCATTCATCGGGATAAAAGTATCCTATCCCCTAAGTCAGCCTATACCCTGCCTATACCCTGCCTATATACTGCCTATATAAAAAAAATACCAAATTTCATCTAAATCCGTTCAGTAGTTTCAGCGTGATTGACGGACAAACATTCAAACAAAGAAATTTTAACATTTAGGAAGGCCTAACGGGTTGCCGGGGCTCCGGCTCGATGTGCAGGAGAAGGAACGGGGTGGTTTTTAGTCAGTAAGAGTCTAACACTCCCTCTCGCCTCACCCAGGCGGGAAAAGGTTTGGATGATTTTCACCCCTAAAAAAAAGACTCCGCATTACAGCGAGAATATT